ATACACAGGTCAAGTACTTTAACCCAAAACCTGATATCAATTTATTTCTTGAAGATTCTGTCTTATCACAGAAGCATCAGAATTTTATTCAAGGACATTATTCTAAACAGCAGGTAAATGTTAAGCAAAATAATTGTGGATTCCCAGAACCAACCAAGCAAAGAATGCACCATGGCTCTTGAAGGTGTGGGCACCTGCATCGCTGATGCACGGCTCATTGCATTCTATCTGGAAAAGTATCTGTGAAGACGTCTAGTAGGCTGGACCACTGTACAATGCACCTGTTAAAAAACAGGTTAGTTGAACCCATGCCTTTACAGAAATATGCTATGTGCCAACCTAGTTAAAATTAAATGGTTAGTACTGAATGAAAATCAGATAAAAACCCATATCTGAAACGCAATTATTCCTAGAAGCCACAGATAATGATTATAATTTGTTTTTAATATTTTTATGACGGTTGATACTTGCCCTGTTTTTCGTCCTGCTCATACATTTAGACCGTATTCGAACAGGAAATGGCAATAATCAAGCACACTGACATTGACAGACACGTCAAGCTTTCAGGATATTGGCCTGATTGCAGGGAGAACAAAGTCATGTGCACAAAGGGTTAATGAGGGTGCCGCACTCACTACATTGAAAAAGACTTCACTAATTCCATATTGATTCACTGCCAAACCAATTTTGTCATGGTCAGCATAACTATGGCTCTAACCAAACGATGTTATTTATATGCAAATGAAACAGTGCAGTCTAACTTGTACTTGCCTTGTAGCAGTTATGTAAAAAATTATAATATGGCAACCTGGTTGCTGCCTCACAGAGTCTGCAATATTTCTTGTTAGTCTGCTTTCCAGCTGCTAAAGACATATGTGAAGATAGAGGATTACTGAGTTCTAACACTAATTCACCTAACAATAGACTACCAAAGCCTACCCAGGCCATGACAGGGGTTAGATTTAGAGTTGAATGTGAAGGCTGGCTTCTGATTGTAACCAACACGAAGGACTACACTTTCATCCTGTCACCTCCTTATATACCTTCTTATGCAAATGCATGTTAGTCTTGGAGTGATACATATAAATATTATATCTTAAGTGGCTTAAAATCATAACTGCTTTTCATGGCCGCTGAAAATTGAAAATGCATCTTTATTTCTGTAATTACTCTTAGCGGATCTGTGTGTGGAGACAAGGGCTTGCTTTAAGAAGAAAACCTTTTTTTGGATTTAAGATCTGCCCATCGTAGACTTTTTGGAAAGAAAGCACTTGTAGGCTGAGTATACAATCGCTGATTAACTGAAACCAGCGGACTTCACCTTGCAGGGGATGGAACTATTACTGCTGACATTCGACATCCTCTAGCAATTCTGAAAAGAAACAAAAGAGTACTAAATGCCAGCTGTATAAACAAAAGAGCGAGATATCTGGTAGCAATGTAAATTAAATTAAAAATATTTCAAGTGCTTGAAAAAAGCAGAATACACTTTGGGGCATTCATGTTGAATTGAGTGTTGCAACCACCATCAGATGGAAAATCATAGGAGTCAATCTCAGATTTGCATATCATTGAATACCTGCAGTATCTACAGTACTTCTGTTGTTACATTAAAATCAAACATCTGCCAATTAAAAAAACAATTATGTGGTGGAATAATTTAGTAACAGTTAAAAACAACCAACAGAGACTTTTATGTAAATTACAGTCTTAAACTGTTCTGTGATCGTACTGCTGCTGTATGTCAGTGATCTTATTTAATCAAATATATTATATGCTCTTCTTAATCAGTTATCTTTTTACCTCAAAGAGAAAAATAAACAATGAATAAATACTGATCATTGAGGTTTCTTTATCAATAAATGTTATTGATTTTCTTTTGCTTTCTTGTCAGAAACACCTCAAATTGCAAACTACACATGTGCAATCCTTAGAATTTAGATCCTGTGACATTTAGGTGTTATATTAAATGTAGAACAATATGAATGTCATTTTATTGCAGAACAAGTTCTGTTCTGGTATACGGTACCTTCAAAACCTACACAACATGACATGATCCTTCTACCTGCACAACAAAACTTTAAGAACTTGCGTCTTTAGAAAGGCTTTCCAAGATTGAAGACAAGGAACGATGGGAGCGTTCAGGATTCTCGCCACGTACTCTGGTATCAGTATGGGGACGTCAGCTGATCATACAGCTGTGAAGCCACCCAACATGGGCAGAGCTGAGGAGATTTGGCAGGGCTTTGGCATCATGCTCAATTTGCATTATCATCCACATCGCTGCCTAAGACCGATCAAGAGGAAGCTGGCCACCAGCTGAGAGACTCATCCAAGGTAGTACATCCACAATGGTGCCTTCTTCCTGAAGAAGGCTCCACAGGCAAAAGGTTGAGTTTCTTTTCTTCCCGTTTCAGCAGGGAATAAACCTATTACTTGTTCCTTTGCAGCCTATGCATGCTGACGCAGCTCCCTACTTGAACTACTTCATCCATAAGGGTGTGTGATTATCAAGCAAGAAGATTTCTAAGGATGGTCAAGGGAAATGTTGAAATAGGAGTGACTTCAAAAAACAAAATAGGAAATGTTCTAGAGACTGCACAAAAAGTGCATGGACATCTTACTTTTCAGAATGTAATCAAATTCTGCTCATAATCCACCTGAATCTGACCCCTGATCTCACCAACATTACAGAAATCCAATCTATATTGAAGTATGAACTCCCTATAGGGAACCTGTTACATGCATAACAGTATAATTGAAGGCATGCATTATAGTGTATGCTGCCATGGAAAATTACACAATGGGGATACTGTGCTATAAAAAGAACTGTATAAATTATAGTTTTTCATTTATTCAGTTTTACCTTCTTCCCCATTTAGCTTTGGTTAATTTAAAAAGGTTGAATACTATTCTAAGGATTTATCTGCACGGTTTATTACTCTGACTAAACGCTAGAACTTTGAGTTTTTCTCTGAACTTTGATATGTCAGCATTTAAAATAACACTGGCAAATGTCAAGTATTGTTTAAAGAGCATCATTCACATGGCACACTGATGTAGTTATCCTTTAAGGATCTCTCTTTGCACTGAAGCAGACTGTCACCTTTTCTTCTTCAAGGCACTGAAAAAGGGCACAGTGCTTTTCTTGCATATTTACAGACTCTTTAATACTTCATTAACATTTCATCTGCATTCTTTGTGTTGCAACATAGGCGAAACAATACATTACTAATCTGTTTTTACACAGTACCAAAGGCATATCCTGAGACACAGTTTACAAGAACCTAAGCACAAAGCCTAGAACTATTGGAACGGTGAATGGGAAACTGAAGTTGTTTAGGCTGCTTTCTAGAACAGGAATTGCAATTCAATTATGCAATTATAATTATTTTTTGGCTTGCTTGTTAGATGACATTGTCATTTCAAAATAAAATATTAGTTTGAAACAGCAAAACAAATGCATAAGAGAGAATCGAAACGCCCAATGCAAACAATTTCAGTGAACATCGAAAAAAAAGAAACACTAAATAGTCCTTTTACATACTGGTCTTAAATGGACATCAGGATATAATTTTAAAATTCACATTTTTGGCCGGATATACTGTACTAAGTTTTTTTTTTTGCAGTCGTTGGTGTACTCTACATTTAGTAACAGTTTTACGTGAACAAGAAAATACGTTTTTTGTGACTCCCAAAAAGCTAACCTGTGAGTATTCAAGCTTATAATAAAGAAATGTTATTCTACAATAATAAATGCAATTGTTTCAAAGATAACCGACTTTTTCTTCTTACACTAGCTTTAACATTGACTCAGGACCCATCTCTTCCAGCATAACTACTTTATTTACTGAAAAGGAAAAACATAAATTACCTTAACATAAGATTAACATAATTTGAGCACACTATGGGTGAGAAGCACTGCCTTACCTTTTCACACGTGTGTATCACTGTACATCTGCTTATGTTAACCCACCGTCTTAACCTTTCAATACTATCTATCCTTAAGTGACACCAGAAGACAAAGTAGGAACTTTTGATTTAAATTGATGCACCATGGACACTATTATGGTGGACGTATTATGGATTTTAGGTACCTCTATGAACGGTACTACATTGCAAAAGGGTGATGAGTGTCTTAAAGGCTCAGACTGTAATCTCAGATTGTTCAAATGTATTTGTATTAATTCATAGCTCATTTTTATGGAATAAACCATAGATTAATGTAAAAATAGAACAATCCCCTACACGTAGATCTTTTCAAATCGTCTATGAGAGCTTCCAGGGGAGCTACAGTGTAATCACTCACTGAATTACTGTTTAGAGCTTTTAAATACCGTATTCTTTAATTAAATTAGTACCGCATATTCCAAGTGAGGCGCTGTTAACCTGTTTTCCACCATTTTTGCGACATGCCCGGTCTGACTTAATTTGAGGCGTGCTACACTACAGATGGCTCTCTGTCTGATTGGTCTGGTGAAAGTGAAAATTTTTAAAATGCACAGGCATTTGGGATCTGGCTCGACTCTGCGAATTTACTGCCCGTCGGTAAGAAAAATAAAATGTAGTACGACTGGAGTACTTTCCGTAGCCCTAACCCCGGCGCGGTCAATAAGGTGCGATTGCAATATCAAATCCTGCCGAGTATTTACACATCAAGACTAAACAAATATCTATTTCCCGAATAAATCACAATTCAGTCAGGTGTGTGGGTGGGAAGCTTATATAACAGGTTGTAAAGCAGAAATTTATCAACGAGCGTGTCTCGCCGTGCTCTATCACTTCGACGTCCGACACACAGTACAGACGGATGTGAACTGCGGCACAAGCGGGCTAAGAATACGTCCTGCGCGGCTTTAAAAAACTTGAATCACGCCTGGCGATAAACACGGCATGAAAACACTGAGCACGTTACATTTTCGCGGGTGGGTAAGGGGGGAACCGACCGTCTGTCGGCCCGGCAGCAGTTTTCATTCAGAGCTTAAGAAGGACAGTTTTACCTCTCCACCGTGGCCATCGAAAATGCCAAATATGGATGGGTGGCTCCTGTTGACATAATCGGTAATGACTTCAAACCTATCTTCCATGTGATCTCTCCTTCCCTGGATGGAGTAGACCGCTACGTTGTGGTTTTTGAACTCCCAGGTCTTGGAGAATTCCGCCTCCAGGACATCCAGACCCCCGAGCCTGTCGTTCTGCATGATCTCCGCCACCTTCCCCTTGACCATCTTCACCGCATCCCTGCTGGACTTGACGATGGTCTTCACCTCGTCCGTGTGGAAGAAGTAACTCCACAGAGCCAGGCTGATGCACAGCAGGAACAGGGTCTCTGGTCTCAGTAAGAAATAACGCATGATCCTTCCCAAAAGAGACAACAAAGTCATTGTATCTTCTATCATTTATACACGCAGAAACGCGACTGACGACAGCTCCTCCACTCAAAATTTCAGTCCATACTTTGGAGGGCAAACGGTGATGATGGTGATAATAATAATAATAATAATAAAAATCAGGGTCGATTCACCAGAAAGCTGCGCATCCGTTATGTACAAGTGATTATGCAGCAGTAGCGGTGCTCAACACGGGATCCGAAGACGCTGCAGAATCGGTGTCGGTACCGCTGATGTTCCCTAAAACTGTAGCCAAATGCCCCACATTGAAGGCTGCCATTGAACAGTCTTGCCTTTCACGCAACCGAGACCCCTAGGAGACGCCGCTCCAACCATGTGCGCGATGCGGGGCAGTTAAAGGACACGGGGACCGCCTTCCGAGAGAGGCTGCTTCCGAGCCCCGCCACTGACAAGCGAATTGACGACCGCCTGCACGCCGCCGCCGCCGCCGCCGCCGCTCTCCGATCAGCACCTCCTCACACAAAGCGAGCGGCCAGGCGCCGCTGCAGCATTCCCCTCGGTGGACCCTACCATTCGGGTCCGGGCGGGGTGGGGCGCTCCGGAACCGCGGCGCTCAGGACGGGGCGGGCGACACGGGGCACAGCCGGGCTCCTGCACGCTCCAGCCCGTGACCACAGAGAGAAGGGGTCAGAGACCCCCCCCCCCCGTTCACGGATCACGGGGCCGCCGCCACCGCCGCCTGAGAGGTCGCCCCCCTTTAAGTTTTGTTTTGTTCTCCCTCGACGGGCATTTTCTACGGGGAACCCGTCCTACGGCGAGCGAAAAGGCACAGACAGAATAAAACGGGAGCGGACTCCGTATCGGCAAAGAGTTTACGGGGGGGAAGCGGAGAGATTTGCAAACCATCTTTTCATCTCAAGTGCATACCCCCCCCACACACACACACACATTATAAGTCATTAATTGTTACAAAAAATAAACCTGACGGGACATTTAATTGATTGTATCATTGGCGGGTATTTAAATACTAATAGTGTGGAGAATTGGAAATGGTGTTCGCCGGGGAAAGTCCAATCACACTGACATTAGAAGATTTTTGCCACCTGTCAGAGTCAGTCTCGCAGTATCTGCACCATTACACTAGTCTCCAGGAATTCAAAGACAGCAGGGGTCTCAAAACAAGTGTATATTACAATATAATGATAAATTGGAAGAACCGGTCTGTATAGTAATTACTCTTTATATAAAACAACGGTATATGCTTTGGAATGCATTTAACCATAATGTTAAACTAACTTCACTTTTAATCGAAAGGCTGTTTTAGAACAGGTTCGAATTATATGCTTTCATTGAAAACAATGTAACTAATTGTATTACTATGATTCTCTCACCAAAGATGATCATTTAATATTCTCCATTCTTTAAAACCTCTGTCAAATAAGAAGGGTCGTTAATGGGATTATTTTGTACAGTATTCACGAAGGTAACATAAAATAAGTACACTTCTTCCAAGAAACTTTCTATTATCACTACTCTTAAATCAGACAAGTGATTATTACAGTACCTTGTAGATTGTATACCATTCTACAAATAGGATTTGGATGATTTGCAAATAGGCAAGTGGAGATGACTTCAGATTATGTTTGCTGCACTATACAGTATATTTTACAACACTAACTACTCTCCGAATAAAACAGTGACTGGACACTCAGCTCCCTCTACAATAAATAATGTAGAATGTCTTACTTATCCATGGGCTGTATCTAGAGGGAACTCCAATAGAAAAGCTTTAACTGGTACAGAATATACCAGTTACATGTTTAATTTAAATAATTAAATCACCAAGAAGTCAAATGGTGAACAGTTTAAATCAGTTCATGCCAATACTAATTCCTACTGCAAGGAACTGGAATTTCCCTTAAGGATATTATTCATATTATGCAGCAAATTTGCTTTTCAGAAAATATAATCTACCAAAGTTAAGGCAGAAAAACACAACAATGACATAAACTCCAATAATAATCTCGAGTGAGATACCTGAAACTTTAAACTGTATTTTCTATTTCAAGAGATGTTCAAAAAGCATCAAAACTGAAAAAAGCATCGTACCCTGTACTTTCAGAAATTTATTTTTATTTAATATACACCAAGTTTAGATAAAGTATCTACAATTTGGAGTAAAGAATATTAAATGTTATATAACCACTAGTAAGCATGTTGATGTGCCTTTTTATTTTTTTAAATAAATAGAAGCATTTTTAAATAAATCATTTTTATTCTTTTTCCTCATACCTGACAAACCTGGAGACAGGCGCACTTCTAGACTGCTATAATGAGCACGTAGGGGTCTTTTCACTCCGGCTAGTTGTGTACTACGTCATCAGGCTGTCTTGTGGCTTATGGACAACGTGCAGGGCTGAACGCGTGGTGAGTGAAGACAATTCAACGAGATGAGCATGCATCTTGTTTTTAAGATTGTTAAGTGACACTTAAGTTAATGTAACTCAGCTTGGACAAAATTACTGCTAGGAAGATAACGGCTGTTATTTTGAGGTAAAAGAAGTTCAAGTCGATGTTCAAGTGAATGCGTATAGTTCTGGTTGAGAGAACTACTTAAATTGTGGTGTGGCACATAACTACTTTGAATTGTGGACTATTCTGTCTGTTTGTCAAGCACTTTAAACATTTTTAACTTAATTTCAAATTGTTTAAAAATATTTAGGGAGTGTCACCTCTTAAATGTATAGCGTATTCATTTTGCGATTATGCGATTGGAGGAATTTAAAGAGATATGCAGAATGTGACTTTAAAATGGGAGATGGAAATGACTGAAAATGCAAATAAGCAACCAGAATTCTTTAAAATTGCATACCATGTTTTACTCAGAAATAACAGATATACATTTTGCTTCTCATACTTTAGGTGTGTGGGCTGGTTGACGTATTTTTGAAATATTGTATATTATTTGTCCGTTTAAGAGAGAGAAGTGAAGAAGATGGAGTATATGAAAACCCCAGCAAGCAACATTCAGGGCAACATGTGAGTATCGAAGACATGCGTGTGTATTAAAACATCAAAAAGAAATTTGATAGTACAGGGAGATCAGTCCAAGGAAATGCTTTCTGGCAACAGCTGCATGAGAGCAAATCAGTGCATCAGCAACGAGAGTACTTTTGAATAAATCCAGGTTTAATCAGTTTTATCTTTCATTGGGGATAGTTGTTTTAAAGCTAAGTCTGTTAGAAACAAGTTTGTTTTTTGTTTTGATGTAGAATGACAGTTGTTTTACATGAAAATATTTCCCTCTGTTCTCATTTAGTTTGTGCTGTGAGTGTGGTACCCCAATACCCCCGAATCCAGCCAATATGTGTGTTGCTTGTTTGCGAACTCAAGTTGACATCACTGAAGGGATTCCGAAGCAAGTCTCTGTTCATTTTTGCAAGCAGTGCGAAAGGTGCAATTTTTTGTTTTTTCTGTTTTTTTAAATTGTCCAGTTATAGTTCAGACATTTGTAATGTGAGAGTTAATGGCAAGAAACTCAGGCTGTATTGTCACTTAACTGTTTAATGTGTTCACCAGTAACTAGTTTAAACATAAGCGTGATCAGAATTCTATATGTAGTACTTTACCTTAACTACATTTCCAAGTGAATATGGTACTGCATTTTTTTCTCAGGTACCTTCAGCCTCCTGGAACATGGATACAATGTGCTTTAGAATCCAGAGAACTGCTTGCCTTGTGTCTCAAGAAACTGAAAGCATCAATGAGTAAGGTATATAGATATGGTAACTTACTTTGGGTCCTGGTTACATCCATAGTGTATAGTTTTAACTCCATCTGTCTCTTAATTAACACTGTTGTTGTGATAATTCTCATTGATGTTACTGGTTTTGAAAGACATGACTGCAGCTGATAAGATGAAATGTTACAGCTCATTATATATATATAAGATTACCTGTGGTTATTGATTTGGTATACTAGAAATGCCTGAAGAAATATGTCATAACTGTTTTTTTGTCTTGTGAAAGTTGATTTAGTATGAATATAAAATATGCTGGAATATACCCTTCAGTATAATTTATAATAGAGGGGGGTTTTCTCAGTTAGGGCAGTACCAAATAGAAACAACGTACAGGAAAGTCACATTAAAGGTGAAGTGGTCATTGCTGCCAAACTCCCAAACATATGCTTTGTTTTTTTTTTAAACTAGGTTCGCCTGATAGATGCAGGATTCCTGTGGACTGAGCCACATTCTAAAAGAATTAAACTGAAGCTCTCAGTACAGAAAGAGGTGAGTGCAAGTGTGATCTGACTGAAGGGATCCACTCTTCGGTTTCGACTTTGTAGCTGTTAAGCCTTACGCCTTCCTTTGGGTGTTTTAAGGTGTACTGCATGGTATCAGGAGGGGCTGAACTGATGTTCTTCGTTTCTTGTGTAATCGCTGTTCAGGTCATGAACGGAGCGATCCTGCAGCAGGTATTTGTCATCGAGTTTGTCATCCAGCCACAGATGTGTGATGACTGTCACCGTGTTGAAGCCAAGGATTACTGGAAGGCAGTAGTACAAGTCAGGCAGAAGGTCAGTATTTTAAAAATCCTTTCTGGGGAGTGGAGGTGTGGAGATGAGTGGCCATGTCATAATTCACCACAGTGTACTGTAGAATGAGCAGCAGTCATGGACTGTGATGTACAACATGCTACACTGCAGCCATTGAGACTTTGTGGAAAAGGAGTCTCATAAGAATATGTCATCAGTAATGTTTTCTTACCTGATTTTTGTTTTGTGCTGTTCTGATTGGTTCCCAGTATGACTCCTACTGGCGATATGATTAAAAAACATCTGAATGGGTATGGTCGCTCTGCTCTGTGGGCATTCTGATGTTAAACACGCTGCTCCTTGAGGGCATTGTGTCCTCTAGTCTCAGGCTGTTTTAATAGACTTGTCTGCTATGGAGTCAGCAGACGGATTGACCTGCTAGTGTGGGACCACTTAACTCAGATTCTTGGCAGGTCCGTCAGTCAGACAGACTCCTAGCAGATGGTTATTTGCTTCAAACAGAGGAGGTTTCAGTTACACACCGACTGGGACGACCAAGCCTTTCATGTGCAGAAAAAAGAAGCCAGAGTATTCAAAATGCCAGACTGTATGGTTTTGATGGCTCCAGAAATGAGAATGGAAACGCTTTAGATGAGTGGCATTAAGTGTCTTTTAAAGTAAACATAGGGCAGATTCAAGCAACAGAAACAAAAAGTAGTTTAGCAGTTACAGCCTGCCAAAAGCACATGGGCATTTTTATTCTGTCACTTTTTGACAGTATTTGGTGAGAAATTTGACTGCAAACCGCAGATTGATCTGCTGCAGTAACTACAAGGGAGAGTACTCATTATTAATTCAATTTAAGTTGGTCTCCAAAACAATAAAGAATTTTAATAGGCCAACCATGTCCACTTTTACAGAGATCTGTAACATTGTGTTTTAAAGTTTTTAAACAAGCTTATAAAGTCTGCTCTTGCCTGTTTGGCACCTTATAAAATTTGAGGTGCATTCTTAGAAGTGTTTTATATATCTTTAAAAGTAGACTTTGTAACATTACTGAAGTACTGTAGCAGTTTTAGACATGTTCTGACCTGTTTATACTTTACTTTTGCGTGTCTTTACTTTTATTAAAGACTGTTCATAAGAAGACATTCTACTACCTTGAGCAGCTGATTCTGAAGCATAAATTACATCAGAATACGCTTCGTATTAAGGAAATCCATGGTATGTCATTGCTTAAACATGTCCTTCAATACGTTAAAACTTCAGCATTTTTTACTAATCAGCAACTTAATGAAATGTTTAATAATGTTAATAAAGTGGTAATAAAATGTATGGTACTTCATAACTTTGGAGTTTTGCATAGTTAAAACTTATTGTCCTTATTGTAAATTGTATGGCTTAAAAGAACGTTTCCATATTTTCAAAATGACTCTCATTAATTTTTCTAGCAAGTGTGGCAGTGAGGTCTGCTGCTTCACAACTCCTTGGCCCTGAATTCAGTTCTGGACTCTTGGTTGATCTTGGTCTCCTTTTTCCTCCCACTCTCTGAAAGCGTTCTGGCTAATTAGTGTCGAGACACTTTCAGTGTTCTTTCAATTTTCAGTGCTCCTTCCCCGGGTGCAGTCTCGCCTACTGTATGTCTTATGCTTCTCGGATAGGCTCCAAGTTGCTATCGTTCTTACCAGGGATAAACAAGTTACTGATGAAGAAAGGAGTTTCTTATTGCATACTGTAATGATAATGATTGACTCGTAATCCATATTAAATACTTTATTAGTCATTAGAAATCAATTTGTACTTTATCTATACATAATAATACATAATAAGTGTGTATTACTTTCTTCACAGAGGGCATTGATTTTTACTACGGTTCAAAGCAAAATGCACAAAAAATGGTGGATTTCTTGCAGTGCACAGTCCCTTGCAGGTAAAACCTCTGTAATATTGCTTAGGAATGATGTGTCTTTGTTGCCTTTCACTACATAAAGTTTATACATTTAAGTGATAAAATCAGAACCAAATGTAATTGTTGGCATTCAGTAAGGGCTTGTACACTTTGGAGTCTAAAGAAGAAAAATGGAAAAAGACAATAGCAGCTCTTTGTAGGAAAATATTGATTAGTGCGAACTTCCATAAGGCTCTAATGGGCTGAATTTCCTTCTCTTGTTTTTAACTTTTTGTTATGCAAACAAATACCGAACAGTTTCATTTTTTCTCTCTTATTTTTGAAGGTCTAAAGCATCACAGAGACTGATTTCTCATGACATCCATTCTAACACGTACAACTACAAAAGTACTTTCTCCGTAGAAATCGTACCTGTGTGCAAGGTGAACTTATTTCTTTATTTGAATGAACTGCGCCAATGTGAAGAAACGCCAAAATACCAAAAGATGAACTTGTTCTGATGAGATTTTAAGAATGCTTAGAAAATCAGCAGAGGAAGATATTGAAATAAATGCTTATTGACTCAACTTATTTTTTTGTAAATTGCAAGCTTATAAATATTTAAACACTGTGGTTTCCACTTGTGCTTTCTCTCTGCTTTGATATCAAATTAGAATCTGGGTGTCGCTCATTGTTAAGGCTGGGAGGGAGTGTTTTACATGTGGGAAGTGGGAAGGTGTGTGGAGGGGTATTGTCTGCACAGGTTAAACAGAGCTGGTTTCTCTTGTCTTGTCTAGGACAATGTAGTGTGCCTGGCGCCCCGTCTGGCCCAAAGCCTGGGAAACATGGGTCAGATCTGCGTGTGCATCAGGGTCACGAGCACCATTCACCTCATTGACCCCAATACTCTGCAGAGTAAGTCCTCCAGAGAGATGTCTGCTTCAGCCACCACCTGCTGCCTTCTGGCCTCTTTAACTCATCAGGAGGGATTGTGGGCCATACACAACAAAACAGTAACTGAAACTTTACACGTAGATGTTCCCAAAAGGCAAAATAATGTGATTTAGCTCTTGGCAAATCTGGTTTGGTTCATAGCCTGTAACCTAGACTACACAGTGAAGTTTGCTCTGGGAGCCAAAATATAATAAGTGTCAAATTTGCTAACAATAATGTAAACTGTTCACCTTTTAAACAGCACACGTATGCTCTTCTTTTAGGTTCTTTTAGAACCTGGTGTTTAGGGCAATGCAGTGGCCCTTAAGACAGATTGAGAGCCACTCTTGGCGAGTCTCGAATTATTGTGGTTTTTCCAGTACTGTTGGCATCAGCAAAATTGTTCAGGATGCTAAAATAGGAGTCCCAGGAGGTTGTTAACATCTGTTTAAAAAATGATCTTTGTGTTCTAAAATAATGCTTCAGTTTTTCCGTTCTTGTTATATCTGCATTTCTACTTTAATATAAGTAACACAAATTGCAGCTACAGTATATTTAACAGAGGACGTGACACTTGGAGGAGAGTATGACTAATCCAGCCCTCTGTGGTACTAGTCATACAAAGCATGCTCTTTTTTTAAATTTAACAAGTAAAGCATTTTTAAAATGAGCATATTTTGAGTGGCACATTGCACATAGCACATTTTGAGTGTGATTTAGATGACAAAATGTGTTCGCAGAGATATTTTTTGCTCCAAACGTTTATTTACCCGTGGGAATGTCAGTGTTCAACAGCGTTTCTGAATTTTGTTTGAAAATGTAATTGTCACTTTACTGTACCCGTAGTTGCTGAGGTTGATGGAAACACCTACTGGCGCTACCCGTTCCATAGCCTCTGCAGCCCACGGCAGCTGGAGGAGTTTATTGTGATGGACGTAGAAATTATCCGCGATCACAAGCAAGGAGCTGGTGCTGGAATGAGGTCGAATAAAGTAAGGGCAATCTTTTGGGCAGCTGGGAAACATTTCTGGCCTGTTTAAAAATATAATTGACACTCCAGCGACACTGATCAGGCACTGTGCATTGTGTCTTGTGCCGCACAGTAGATCGTCTGGCTGAAACGTTGAATTGCCCCAACGAGTCCATTATGGGAAAGAAAAGTGAAGAAACAGAAAATTGTTTGCCCCTGCACTATATGTTTTGTATTCCTTTTAGGAGAGAAGGATGGCTCGTTTGTATGTGCACTGCAGATAAATACGTAGCAACTTGAATTCATTAGCAAATATAATGTTGGCATAGGTTTGTTAGTTTTGGTATATTGTAAATCTTTTGATGCCACCCTCCTCCCCACTGTCAAAAGGCAGTGCAGCAGTATTGTTTTTCAATTTCTCTCTAATGCGGTGACAAAAGTTGAGAACAAAAGCTCATCGTTTTGGCAATTTCAGCACACCCTTGCCGAAGTGTGGGTGCAGAAGACCTCGGAGATGAACACGAGCCAGCAGTATCACTGCCGCACTTTCCTGGGGCACCTGCTCAACCACGGGGACCTTGTTTTGGGGTAGGCTTAAGGAAACGTTGTGCAGTAGGGTTGCGTGTCCCAGCTGTTGACCAAGTTGTTTGGAAACAAATTGTCTACACAGTCCCTTAAGCATTTTAATAACTTTTCCTAGGCTTCCACCTTAAAAACCTGAGTTGTTCCTTGAATTCAAAAGGCATGAAATTCCCTTTCTTTGTGCAGTTTTGACCTGGCAAATGCCAACATCAATGACGAGTTTGTGAACAAGATGAACCCTCATCATGTTCCTGATGTGGTAGGTTTTAGAGTTTTTCCTGATTTTCCTCTTTCATCATTCCTGATGATAAAAATGAGTTTTTATTGTATTCAGTGTTGCTGGCAGCCTCTGCAGTTGCTCCCCTGGCATGACATGGTCACATCTTAATATTGGCTCATTTCTACCAGCTCTCACTTCATCTTGGGTGTACTTCGCTAGGAGACTAGGGCTGGGGGTGTGGGGTGTGGGAAATGCTGTTTTGTTTTGGTTTTGATCTGTTTAAACACAAATAGACTGATACTTAATGCAGAATACTGTAGATTGGGAAGTAGTTCCAGCCACATTTTTTTGTTTTATGTGCTGTTTGTTTTACAATGCTAAATTTTTGTATGTAGGTAGCACTAGGTTCTTTCTTAAGCTCAAAATTAATTTTACATAAAGCCATGTAGCCACACATGGCCAGCAGCCATATCACCCTGCAACTTGCCACTAGCAGCCCACTGAAGCTCAGCAGGTGTGAGCCTGGTCGGTACCTGGATGGGAGACCTGCTGGGGAGAAAAATAAGGTTGTGTTGTGGAAGTTGTGTTAGTGGGGCCAGTAGAGGGCGCTCACCTGCAATCTGTGTGGGTCCTAATGCCCCAGTATAGTGACAGGAACACTATACTGTAAAAAGGCGCCGTCCTTCGGATGAGACGTAAAACGAGGACCTGACACTCTGTGGTCATTAAAAATCCCAGGGTGTCTCTCGAAAAGAGTAGGGGGTGTTACTCGAGTCCTGGCCAAATTTCCCCCTGGTCTTAACCACTCATTGTTTTATAAAAATCTCCATCTATGAACTGGCTTTATCACTGTTCTCCTCCTCACTGATAGCTGATGTGTGGTGAGCGTTCTGGCGCACTATGGCTGCTGTCACATCATCCAGGTGGGGCTGCACATTGGTGGTGGAGGGGAGTCCCCATTACCTGTACACCACTTTGAGTGGAGTGTCCAGAAACATACATAAACCAGTTGTAGTTGATTAACTTTTTTCCCTGAAAGGTTTTGTGGCTAATACTGACCTCTTGTGGCCTGTTGTTGTCACTGAGACATTTGGTGATTGGATTTGGCAACATAAATTATAGAACACTTTTTAACTAAAACTAGGATAAACACATAGATGCCATTGTCCCTCTTTTCTTTGTGTTTAATAACCATGTGTGAAATTCTTGACTTTTTCCTTAGCTGTGATGCTTAGTGTGAAGGAATGTGATATTCACATGATATTTACATTTTCTTGCAAGGTGTTGTGTGAGGCTGACACATGGGTTTTGAGACCCTTTTCTCTTGGCTCTTAATTTATTTGTGACCCTTGTGACTAGATTTGTTGCAAAACCGATTAACCGTGGCTGTTGCTATAGCAGTTCACAATAGCACTTCCCAAAGACGTGGAAAGGAGAATGTGAAAATTTTAATTTCATTTTGTGCTAGGTGCTAATTAAGAAGAGCTATGACAGAAACAAGCGCCAGAGACGCAGGAACTGGAAGCTGAAGGAAATGGAGAAAGACCGCGAGGGGATGGAAACGGATGATGAAAGGTACAGCAGAATTCTTCCGGCCTGCTTTCCTTTGTCTCCTTTATTAAAGGTTTTGCGCTGATGTGGTTGAGCTGACGTGTAATAAATCTGACATTGAAATAGGCGTAAACACCCTTAGAGCTTTATGTAATGTTAGTTAGATATTAGATTGAAAAAGTTCCTTGGCTACTGATCTTGTACAGGAGTTTGTACAAACTTCTTCAAAGCTACATTTGGCTCACTGCTCTTATTAGAATTAATGGAATGCTGATCGCAGTACTACAGTGCACCAGATTTTTAACATTGTGTTAATGCTTGTTTCCCTGGTGAGCATCACCTTTAAGTATACAACTTTTCCTGGTGCAGTGGTTAGAGCTCTGAGCTTACTGGAAGGTTGTGTCACACTGAGGTTGCACCCTTGAGCAAAGCACTTAACTCGGATGCTTCAGTATAATGCACGGCTGTGTAAATGGATACAGATGTAAGATAGGAGAGGCATTCTGACAGGTATGGAGCACTTTATATTTTTGGCTCCCCGCACACTCAGTTTTCACTGCATGCAACATTTAAAGTGTTTTTTTTTCTTTAGGCAATATCAAGATTTCCTGGAAGACCTGGAAGAAGATGAAGCTCTTAGGAAGAATATTAACATTTTTAGAGGTAAGCAGAGGTGGCACAAGTATTTCCTAACAAGTATTAGTAGTAATGATAATAATTCCTTACACTTATATATCACTTTTCTGGACACTCCACTCAAAGTGCTTTATATATGATAATGGAGACTCTCCTCCACCACCATCAATGTGCAGCCCTACCTGGATGATGTACACCAGTAGACTCGCCAAACATCAGCTATCAGTGGGGAAGAGAACAGAATGATGAAGCCAATTCATAGATTGAGATTATTAGGAGGCCATGATTGGTAAAGGCCAATGGGAAACTTGGCCAGGATGCCGGGGTAACACCCCTACTCCTTTCGAGAAACACCCTGGGATTTTTAATGACCACAGAGAGTCAGGACCTCAGTTTTATGTCTCATCTGAAGGATATTGCCTTTTTACAGTATAGTGTCCCCATCACTATACTGGGGCATTAGGACCTACATGGACTGCAGGGTGAGCGCCCCCTGCTGGCCCCAGTAACACCTCTTCCAGTTGCAACCTTAGTTTTTCCCAGGAGGTCCCCCATCCAGGTGCTGACCAGACCTGCTGAGTGGGTTTCCAGTTGTGAGTTGTGAGGATGATATGGCTACTGGCCTAAGTACTAAATCTTTACACAAACAATAGAGAAGCATTAAAAGCAACCACAATTAAGTTATACATTTTTTTATGCAAGGTGGAACATTTACAGTTGACCCCATAAACTTTTGTGCAAAAAATCACGAAATGTGCTTTTCCAGATGCTTCAAGAATCCCAGTGGAAAGCGACACTGATGATGATGGTGCACCTAGGATATCTTTGATGGAAATGCTGGAGGATCTGAAGATCTCTGAAGATGCCACTGGTGGAGAGGGAGCATCGATGATGACTGAATAAACGGAATATACTAGTTTATCTTATTTTTGCAGATTAGATCATGATTGGATAATACACATTGTCAAGTGCTTTGACGCTTGGCCATTTTCTTCTCTGAATAGTGCTTTTAATGCATTACTGATAAAAATCCATCGAAGTGTTTGGCATGGTTCTTTCTAAAATAAATGCCTACATGCACCTTGAAATGGGATTTCTTTAGCACAGTTCTAATCCTTTTCTCAATATAGGAAGTGGGGGAAACGTTTTAACTGGGGTCTAAATGAAGAATGCAGGTAGTTGAAAGTTGAATAACTGAACTAATTTTAGATCATTCGAGTAGGGAGCTGCGTCAGCATGCGTAGGCTGCAAAGGAACAAGTAAAGGTTTATTCCATGCTGGAAAGAGAAGAAAAGAAACAACGTTTCAACTGTGGAGCCTTCTTTGGAACCTTGTATTTAGGTTCGTTTTTTTTATTATCCACTAGGTGGCACCAGTGCAGCAGTCACTTGGATGATCTGCTAGACTAGTGAGACCTATTCTGTTTTTTTCTCTAGTCATTTGGATTTCATTATACTAATAGCACTTTATTTGTTGGCTTATTGAAGTTGTTTCTAAGGGGGAAAGGGAAGCTAAAGAAACATATCTACAGTACTTTCCACTCCTGTGACAACTAGCATTACTTACAGCTTTCTTCTGATTTCACGGTACAAAGTGAAAATGTTATAAGCCTCTTTAAGCTTTTGTATTATGACTGATCCATGGTCTATTGTTTTTGTGAAGTACAGAATCTGTAACATAGCATCATAGGAATCCTTATACCCGCGAAATGTTGTGGTTACTCTGACTACATGCAGAATCCACCAGTAAATGATAACTTTTTTCTAAGGCCAGTGTAAACACCATTAGCTCAAAGGTTTATAGCTGAGGTTATAAAGTTGTTTGTAGGGCCAGGTGGATCATTTGCACAACATTCTCAAAGACTACCTTGATTAACTCAGAAGGAATCTCAGAACTTATTCTTCTGCTCACTTCTAAAATATAGGTAACAAGAACAAGAGACCTGCTAACATCACTTGTGGTGGCTGAAGTCACTTGCTGTTGAACCCATGGGATCATATTACAGTTTCTAAACCTTATTTTTACAAATGGAAAACCTAAGATTCTATAGCAGAAATGTAATCTGTTCAGTTAAAGAAATAGGATCTACTTGGGAAAGTTGCTTTGGAGTTTGTTGGACGCTACACTAGAGAATGAAGCGCAGTGGTTCTTGTGTTACCTGAGCAGTCAATGGATTTTTTTGGAGGAAATGAGTTTTGCAAAAAACATTATGACTGTAATACGTTTGATAATAGCCGAAATACAGTAGCTTATTTTTAGTAAGGCTGAGAATTAAACAGTTTTAATTATTTCTTATTGAAATGACAATAAAAAGAAACCTCTGTAAGTACTGGATAAATTTGCTGTACGTGTTCTCCCATCTTCCTCCACAGAGGTGATGTAAACTACTGTTTGTCAAGACTGATGCTCTTTGTTTACCATGTAATTAGACAAAAAGAAAGAAAGCATCAGGTTTTTCTAATCTGCATTTCAAAGAGCTTACTGTATGGTGCCAGGATAGTTTGAATGCTGAGGAAAAATGCAACTGCAAAAAAGCTTTGGTATCAAAATCATTCTGTTTATTGTTGTGCAAAGTACTGTGAGCTGGCAATACAGACGTAAGCACAGTTGAATAATGTAAGTAAAGTGACAATCGATAAAAATACAGAAGTCGTCATCTGCCCTTGCAAGAAATTTGAGAATAAGGGATCATGATTCATCTTGAAAAATGCAATGCCAATCAGAAAAAGCAGGAAGGTGGTGTAAAAGTTGTGTGGAACAAAACTATTGGCTTACATAGCATCGAAACCTGATCCAATATTGGATCTTGTTTATAAAAATGTGCAACACAAAATCAATAAATATCAGGGAATTATAGACCACTACACTGCCTGGAGATAACCTGAGCCTACCTGAAATGTGATCTCACTGTTCCTTGGTTACTATTTGTGTTCCTTGAACTTCTTTTATGCCAAATAGCCTGTTTCTGTCTCCCTTGGTAACCATGCCACATGCCACTTCTCTAATTATGAGCTACGTATCTGCACTGCACCCTATATAATAAAAGTGTAAATGATTGTTAAGTAGTATGAAAAGAAAAGTGGGCTATATTAAAAATTATAGCATAGCCAGATGCCTTTTCCACCTCTCAATTACTCCCCTCTTCTCCATTTTCTTGTGTGAGAGCCCATTTGGTTTGTGTTGGCTTTTCAGAATGTAATATGTTTAGTTTATCTTCACAATTTATATTTTTTCAAAGGTAAATCAATTTCTGCCGTGATTACAAATGACCCAGTTCTACAGAATCAAAGGGGAGCATGTTAAGCATCTCATTAGCTACACTTAGTTTTAGTTTAGTGGCAAAGGTGGCTGAATGCTGCCCCTTAAAGTCTGTTGTTCTTTTTGAATAAGCTCTCACGGTACTTATATAATACTACAGCACCCAGTGTTATCATTTGTACCTTCAAGCATGTTTTGGACATCAGGAGTACATTCACTTGCTGACAACTTGTCATTTTCATTAGAGAGTGTAATTAAGGGAAACTTTATAGTATACACATCAGATGAAACGTCATGTAAGTGCTTTAGGAGGGTGTCTTAATCCAACGGTATCCAGAATCTGTCCTTAACAGCCAAAGTGTCTGGGTTGTGGTCTTGGTGCACCACTCTGATGATTTACACAGCCATGCAGCTATTGAATATTAATTCATAGGTCTAAGCAGTCAACAGACAAGAATGTGCAGCATAAAATAGGCCTTGTATTTTCCCAATGAGGATCTGGCTTCTGACCATTTTACCATAGTTTTCTAATTTCAAATGTAGCACAGCCCTTAAACAAAAAGCAAAATTGAACTCTACCAAGTCTCCTCAGTTATCAAATGTTACACTCGCGCTCCACAAAGCTTTCTAAAAACAGGAGCTGTCATTTTTTTAAGCTTATCCTTGGAACTATCTGAATCTTTGGATGTTGGTTGTTCACCTGAATCGTTTTTTTTATCCCATGGTAGTTACTTTGAAATAAAATTAATGCTTTGTAAAACCTATCTGTAGTATCAGCATCCCCTACAAGTACAGTACGTTATGGGCAGTACAATGCGCAGCAAGACTAGGGATGTGGGAAAGCTCACTGAACTGTTGGATTTGAAGTGTGCACTATTTGGGCGGAGCAGTGGCTCTGTGGCTAAGGATCTGTGCCTGTGGCTGGAAGGCTGCTGGTTTAAATCCCACAGCCGGTAGAGAAATCCTACTCTATTGGGCCCATGAGCAAGGCCCTTAACTCCAACTGCTCCAGGTACAATGGTAGACCCTGTGCTCTGACCCCAAGCTTCTCTCCCTGTCTGTGTGTCTCATGGAGAGCAAGCTGGGGTATGCAAAAAGACAAATTCCTAATGCAAGAATGTAAAGGGTTATTAAAGTGTTGTTGGTATTATTATTATTATTATTATTATTATTATTATTATAATAAAGACAGAGGAAGGATGTAGTGAAGAAAGTAATTCTGACTGTGTAATAAGGACTGCAGATGTAGTTTTATGCTGAAGATGTGCTTTTTTGATCTGCAGGCCTTATCTGATCTTTCACTGAAGTGCATCACGATGGCGATTGCCCTGTGTTTCTTTCCACACATAATCAGGACATCTTACATGGGTCATATCAACTGATTTGAAAAATACCTCCGTATTCCTTAGGCCAAACAAAACTTTCCACAGACAGGATGTCTAAAAAGCTTTAAGATGTTGTGAGAAAATGTCCAGTGATTCAACATGTGCTGTTACCTTCAGATCTTAGGTTTCAACAGTGTTGAGGATCATTACCACTGAAGGGAAGACTTTGAAACAAGTTAATTCTATATTCAACGTTGAATATATTCAAAATCAAAAATAAGCATCTGCTATTTTAATTCTGAATCTTCTTTCAAATTCTTGTGCTCTCTTCTTCCGCTGGGTCTTTTACTGACCCCTGCTCTAACTCATGTTCTCCTTCACAGACTCTTCACTGAACTGCAGCATCTACAGTAGCTTTGTAGAAAGGCTCCTTTTCACAGGGAGCTTGCTGGCCATAGAGCTTCTAGGGTTAGTAGTTAGGGGTGGAGTGGTGGCTCTGTGGCTCAGGATCTGCACCTGTGGCTGGGAAGTTGCTCGTTCAAATCCCACGGCTGGCAGAGGAATCCCACTCTGTCGTTCCCCTGAGCAAGGCCCTTAACCCCACTGCTCCAGGGGTGTTGTACAATGGCTGACCCTGTGCTCTGACCCCAAGCTTCTCTCCCTGTCTGTGTATCAGCAAGCTGGGATATGTGAAAAGATTAATTCCTAATGCAAGAAATTGTATATGGCTAATAATAATTGCATATGGCTAAATAAAGTGATCTTATCTAAATAAACTTCTAAACACAACTGAGAAACCAGCCTGAAGTCTCAGCTGTTCAGCTTCACTGAGATCTGAACTGAAGTCTTTCAGAGCCATTTCTTTCTACAGCCTTAGACATGTTTGCTGGGGAGATTGCATCATCAGGCTACATATGTTACAATGTGCCACATACAGCATTGATACAAATGAGAGGAGACTGGTTAAACTGCATTCTGTTTCTAAAACCTGTGTTCAAATATGTTCCTTCTGTCTGTAATCAAATACTTAAATAATTTATGCAGTAGATGGCAGCAGCAATAAAGTGCAAACATCTTCATTTCTTTACATCTTCATTCCTGACAAACTTAAAATACCTGATTCGTTATTTACAGTACTGTAGTTGTAGTTGTATTGTAGTTGTTCAATATTACCCAATTTCCCTTATCTAATACTTATCTAATACTAATGGGTATCAGAGATAAGAACTTGGGGATGGACTGAATGATGGATTGAATGATTGCTTCCTCTCCACCAGGCACAATCAGGTCTTTTGCAAACCTACCCTTTCACTTAAATATAACTTAACAAGGTAATACCTTTTCATACAGTCTTTTGTTAGAGCATAAGAACAATTACAAATTAGAGGATGCCTAATATAGTTAATAAAGTATGAATATTGACACAGGAAACTTTTTCTTAAGGCCCGGATTTAAATCAAAAGAAAGAGGGTCTCTTAGTTAAATTGTGAAAAGTCACTCAAGATACTGG